ACAAGGGGAACTTAAACTAACTTTATTTATACCGGATATATAGCTCCACCAGTTCTAACTTTATTTTTACTGGATAGCTCTATCAGTTCTAAACTTTCCCCATAGATTTTCAGGAGGAATCATCTCTTATTTTGGGAAGTGTTTTTACCTAGGAGGAAACCTAAACTAACTTTATTTTTACTGGATAGCTCTAAACTTTTCTCGCAAGAAATTCAGTAACAACCATCTCTTCATTTCCCAATGATATTGCAGGAGAATCTGGAGTGCTCGAGTCTCGCATGCAACTGATGCAATTGTAATCAGAAAGTGACCTCCGTTTACAGAGGCATTACAACGAAAGGCTACTTTATTCTGTTGAAAAAGAGTACATTTGTGTTTCATTTTAGGGGATTTAGCAAGAACAGCACTGCTGAGTTAATGCTCAAACGGGCGAATAGAATGAAATACAACGCTTTACGCAAGAAAGAAATGACGAGTAAGAATAAGCATGCATTCGTTGCAAGTAGAATCAAGCCACAGGGCCGCTACAACGCATAAATCATTTCTGTGTACATTCGTGTCATTTACAGATCCAGAGAAACGATTCCAACTGTTCAAGAAGGCAGATGAGTCAAACAAAGCTCGTGGTGTACAGGCAATTCAGAAAAGAAAGGAAAAGCCTAGAGTGGACTATTTTAGCGGTAAATATCAAGATTTTGTTGGCAGCTCATTCGGTTTAATAATAGTTGAAGGGTCTTGTGTAGATAGAAATTATCGAGTGGAAATTTATATACATTAAATAGACCTAACCAGGAACAGCTGCGAAAAATGCAACTATATAGATCGCTAGCAGGAAGCGGCCCTGCTATTCCGGTGCAGCGCTCTAACCAACTGAGCTACAGAGTCTAGTTGTCGAGCTCTAACCACGAGTTCATTACTGCCATGTTAGGTTATGGGTAAATATAAATGTATACAAATTTCCACTCGATAATAGACCTTTCCCCTTATGAGTGAAATTTTGATCTAGACAAGCCTGGACAAAAATTTCATCACAGCTTGAAAGAGCATCACAAAATTAGTAATATTCCGAAGTTTCGTTGCGAAATGTTGTAAAATGCGGATAATATAGCATTGCGAAGTTTCCCGTTTTTCAGTCATTTTGCTATTACAAACGGGAAATTGATAATCAGATGATCAAACTGATTATCAATTTCCCATTTGTAATACAAAATGACTGAAAAACGCCAAACTTCGAAGGCTATATTATCCTCATTTTACAACATTTCGCAACGAAACGTCGGAATATTACTAATTTTGTGATGCTCTTTCAAGCTGTGATGAAATTTTTGTCCAGACTTGTCCAGATCAAAATTTCACTCAAAAGGGGAAAGGTCTATTTCCATCTACAAAACTCTTCAACTATTTTAGCGGTAATGTGTTCATTTGTACTGCGTGATATCCGTTGATGGCGCTAGCCTAATTTCTGAGTATCAGCTGGTGGTATGCTGATGGTAGAGTTAATTATTGGTAGCTTGATATTGGTCCACCTTCGAATCACACTTCGTTTTGTTCATTTTAACAGAAGAGCTTCCAGGTTGAGCATCTTAGCAAGATCTTACAAGAGCTTGTACATTTTGTATGATCTTATCAAGAACTAATCTTGGCAAGATCTTACTATGATCTTACCAAGATTTTCGAATTATCTTGCCAAGATCTTGGAACATTGTAAAATGAAAATTTCAACACATTTTTCCCCAAGATCTTGCCATAATATTGATAAGATTACCATGATTATGATCTTGTTCCAAGGTTTCCCAGCGAGCAGTCGACGCTTACTGATACCCCTGCTGATACGTATGTTTCTAGGGCGACCAGATGGTGATCATCAAACGACGAAAAAAGAAGAGCAGGAATCGCAGGCTAAACAAGAAATGACATTTAGGTAATCGCTACACAGCTTAATGTGTGAACTAGGGGTGGAAAAAATCTTTTATTTTCTGGGACGCAAGAGAACATTGAAAATGTTCTGCAAATAATCAAGTAAATCGACACTTGGGCACTGTAACTGTGTGACACTAGCAAGTTGTCAAACTGGATATCATGCCATATTTTACGGAAAAAACTTATTTCAGTGCACTGAGAATCTTAAAATATAACCTAAAACTAATTTTGATAACATGCATCAAGGGTCTGATCCTAAGGTAAATATACAGATGGCAAAAGAGGGCACTACTATAGGGGGCACTATATCAAAGGGATCCATGCTCCCCCAGAAAATGTTGAAAATCAGGTGTCCCAGATTGGCTAAAAATGCATTTGCCATACAACATTTGGTACAGTACATCATTCAGTCTACGTTTACACACTATCGCACTATTAAGATGGATGCACTTATAATTGCATTTCTGAGGTCATGGTGTGAATTTTCGTCTGAATTTCGCCTTTTATCTGAATTATTACAATTTTTTCTTTCTTGGGGAAATATTTTCTGGGAACTCAAAACATTTTCTGGGACCAATGGTCCCGTGGTTCGTTACTTTTTCCACCCCTGCGGGGCCGGTTGTTCAAAGGTGGGTTAGCCCTGGCTTAAAATTTAACCTGCTGTTTTAGTTTGTGTATTTCTGCACGTCTGTTTATTTCAAAACTTGAGAGAAGGAAACTCCTATCGATCCAGCCATGATTTCTGAAGAAATATTTCCAAATTTATAAACAAGCAGTCAGGACGTTCGCTTTGAGCTAATCCAGCTTTCGAACAACCGCCCCCTGGTGTGAACTTACACTCAAATGACAATGTTTCTACGTTTTGTCTCTTGCAGTTGGGTGTACGATCAAGCTGTTCTACATAAAGACCAAGGAGAGGAGATATTGAAAGATACCAGACAATATTATTGCGAGTCAAAATCAAACAAGAACAGACCTGACAGGTTATCTCTGTCTATTAAACTAAATCATTGTCTGACTCTATACTTGATAGCTCTATCAGCTCTATCAGTTAGCCCCTCGTACTATGAGATATAGCATCACTGATCACTCCATGGCTCCCTAACTTTTGAAGGAATCTACTATTCTTATAGGTCATCTCCAGGAGTCAGTTTGCCGCGAATGGATCCCGTTATTCTAGCTGGACGAAACCTTCCTTTAGTGGTATGAAATACATAACTCTTTATCTGTACTTTAAGCTGGTTTATACCCTGTCAAAGTTTCTGCGATCACAAGTAGGAATTTGAAGGATTTGTAAGAAATGTGTGAGGGAACGAACTCAATGTTAAACACTGAATCAGTTCCCTCCAACATTCCTTACAAATCCTTCAAAACTTAGAGTATGCCCATTCAAAATTCCTCCTGTGCTCACTGGAACTTTGACAGTGTAAACCAGACTTAATACTGTTTGATATTACCCAGGATTAAACTGCTACACTACTTCCTTGTCTAACATATCGATCATTCTATGCTATCTTAATTTGATATTTTATTTCTTTCAGGCAAGTCCAGTGAGCAACCCAAGAACTCCGTCCATTTATTCAGGTGATGTTGAGATCGGCTCGCGTAAGTATTTTGATGTTTTGTAATCGTTTCCACTATCTACACTAGACCCTGATGAAGATAGTTTTGTAAGAGTAATGGGTGATTTCAGCTATGGACGAAATTTTGATCAAGGCAAGAAGAACGAAATCCAACACCACAGCTAGAAAGAGCATCTTAACATGAGTTACAACTTTGTGTCGTCAACCTTGTAACATATACTTGTTATACACACGTAAAAATGTCACATCTTGTAACAAGTCTGCCAACAAGATGTACATTCGCACTGTTTGTCACAAGTTGTCAACAGGTTTGGAACAACTTGTTGACAACTTGCAACAACCTTGTCGAAATTATCAGATCTGTTGCAAGGTTGTTCTGACAAATCCGTTACATGCTTGATATACCTGTAACAAGATTGTTACAACCTTGCGTCGTCAACCTTGTAACATCCTTGTTATATCATGGCTGTAACAAACTTGTTAGCACAGTCTTGTAACAAGGCTGATAATGCCATCAAGCTTGTTACAAGTTATTAACAGCTTGTTTCAAACTTGTTACAACAAACTGGGAACAAGCAGTGCGAACACAACTTGTTGACAGCTTGTGAACAGACTTGTAACAACTTGTTTACATGAATATGTACAGTATAGCAGTATATCGAATGGTGATTCTTTTAATAGGAATGTTGTGTAGTAGTTATAATATGTATTGAGTCCATTTGCACAAAAAAAAACAAATTGACGGCCCAGCCAAACTGATGAAAATAATTTCTTGACCCATCTTTATTTCCTCCGGCCCATCCTAGCCGTTACTTTATGACCTGTCCCTAATGAGGTTTTTAATCTTTCTTCATACCAGGTCGTAAATATAGTTGGCAACAAACAAAGACGCACTCCAACCCGGACCTAACTCGTGTTGGTCTCGGCAAGGAAAGCAGATCAGGAAAGAGCAACAGTGCCGAAGCGAGGATTATTAAAGAACGCAATCATATCCTTTGAAGAATATTGTTGGACGTTGTTCTGGAACTATTGAACAACTTTCAAGAAGTGGTGGAGAATTATTCCCAACATATTCCAATTCACCGGTTGCCAATTTCTGGAACAAATTTAATGCTTTCGTCATCAACTGTAATCAACTGTCTTTCACTGAGATTTTAACAAAATGGTGGGAGGGAGGGAGGCAGTTGACCCAAATATCTGCCACTGCTTTTCCGTGCAAACCATATAGCAGACATTCCAACTCTCCCGATTTTACCGGGAGTCTCCCGAAAATTCGTGCAATCTCCTGGTCTCCCGATTTTTATCAAATTCTCCAGATTTTTCAGAATATTCAGGAAATATCGTTAAAAAATCATAAACATACTGTTTTTAGCAACATAATAGTCTGTCTTCACCTTTTTATGAAGTTACTTGATGACAATTTATAGGATCACTTATAACAACATATTCCCAAAATGCAGAAATGCCATTTCAAAAGACTTAATTTTTATTATTTTTTCCCTTAAGAATTAGATTTCAATTCACTGAGCAGTCTCCCTAAATTTTGCCTCGAGTAGTTGGAATGTCTGATATAGACAAATTCTAAATGATTTCTGCCACATTCACAACTTACATGCCTGGAAAACGTAGAAAAGCTTGCTTGCATATTCATGACAGAGGCTTTTACACGCGAATAAAAAACTAAATATATAGTGACTGATGCTATTAGAAAGTTAACTTATAAACTCACAAAGTGTACATATTTATCAGATTTTAATATAACACGATTGTTTATAATACAGAATATATTTTAGCTTAAATGCATCTCTTTGTTTCTGTACGAATGTATTTTCTAATATTAATAATTGACATTGAGTCTCTTTGCTGTCAAGATAGCTAAGTTCTAAGGCAGGTCATATGCATTCCCTAAAAATATTTATCAGACAGTGTGATGTTTTAATTAAACAAGGTTTGGTTCCTATTTGTTAAAACAATTGTACATCAATACATCATAAAGTTAGTGTCTTTCTATAAATTTAGTTAGATTTCTTTTCTGCTCTCTTTTTCTTCAGTAGAACTAAGGATATGAATGACCCTAATTAAACAGAAACAAATAACTGTTAGCAAGTCCCAGCATGTACCCCCTTATCCCGGGAAGCATGATTTCTGGTGGGGTGGGGGTGGGGGGGCAAGGGAGTAGAGAGGGTAAAAGCTTTCAGCTTCAATCACGAAAGCATGGCTCTACAGCCAAGATGATGTGAAGAAGTGTATTCTCGTTGATCTAATTGTGTATTTAGCATATTTTACCAGAAAACAGTCCATCTATGCTTGTATTGATACAAGGAATTCATACCTACAACCAACACTGCAAGTACTCCAGCAACAACTGGTATTAATATTGCATACATTCTATCTGGGAAATATATCTGGATCACATGGTCAGCTTCTACAAAAGGCTACAACACACAGATCAAGTTAAAAGGTAGAAAAAATGGTATGATTTTTGAGCACACGTTTGTCAGTGTTTATTGGATTGTTCTTACCAAAACAATTACCCATAGAGAATAGTAAATGAATATTAATGAACCAAGGGACATCATTGCTGTGCCAACAACTTGATCTAACCCGGTTGCCTATATGTGAAGAAACAGTGTATGAAGCTAATTTATATATATTCTCTTGTGACATTGTTGCAACAAGTGTCCCAAGCCTTCACACGATTTTGACAGTTAAGCCATTGAGTGGCAGCACTCTCCCCGACGAGTAAAATTGTCTGCCGTTAGACAGAGTAAAATAATAAAGTAGGGCGCATTGCCACTTAAAGGGTTAATAATATTCCAAAACTGTAACATTTAATAACTCGATAATTTGAACATGATTATTAAATTTGATGAGGCGGGTGGAATGGATGTGGACTGAGCTTTAGTTAACTGGAGTACTATTTCAGCGGGTTGTAGTTTCGTCAAAATAGAGTTAACAGTTACACTTGTGCAAAGGGCTGAAACATGTGTCAGTTGTCCTGTATTGCTATTGTTTTAGAAAGACATGATATTCCAGTTATGCATAGAGGTCACTGGCATTTTGGCAATGTATTTTGGCTTTGTTCTTGGTGCATTAATTTATAGTAAAACATTTATGTAACAAATAAACTTACCATTATAACGTTATAAACTTAAATTTTACAGCTTCGATTTCCACAAAAAAATAAATAGTAATCTGAATTTTCTGAATTATTCTTGTTTAGGCGAGTGACATGTCAACGTGTGCCCGCGATTAGTGTTAGCAGTGTGTTGGAGATACTTTGTGTAAGGTACGATATAAGGTTGATATATTTCAAAACCTTTGAATTAAAGCCGCGTTCCTCTCAACCTCGTACCCAGGGCTAGTCGCGAATTGAAGGCGGCGACGTAGCGTTCCTCTGAGGTCAGATTGAACTGAAATTCAACATTTCGTTCGCATAAATTGCGTTGCATGCTACTAATATAGAGATCACACGCTAATATAGTACAAATCCCGAATTAAGCAAGCTTTTAAACAAACGTCCCAAAAATCATGTCAGCTAATTTAATTTTACGACCAAAACTTATAAGTATTGTTCGTACATTTCTGACATTTCTAACTGTTGACGTGTTGTATTTTTTATGGATTTCGGACATTCAGTCGCATTTTCGTCTTTGTTCGTTCAAATGCCATAGATTGGGATTGTTCCCGTGTGAGAATTATCGCAACTATCGAGTTGTTTCACTGTTTACTGTTATCTAATTTACAAAAATCTTAATTCAAAGTTAGGATAATATCATAATATAGGGAGGCGTTCTTCTCAAATATATGTCTATGTCGTTTGCGGTCAAATGCCTTTCTTCCGTTTGTTCTTTATATTAAATCCAGTTCTGTGGCCTTCCGCTGTAGTCAATTGAATTATTTAGCGGTCAATAAAGCAAGGGAAACAAACGAATTATGTGGTCTATTTTAAAATATTCCCTGTTTGGAAACTATGAAAAGCTTTTCAGCTGTGTATACTTATGCCATCTGCCGAGAGGATATATTTTGTCAAGAGTCCCAAACTTTTATTTCGATTGTTTACTGAGAAAGCGTGGGATGGCTCGTTTACTGTAAACAAGAGCTGCATCAAAAATGATTTTTTGACAAGTTTTCCGCCTTGACAATTAAGGTTCTTTGTTCACTAGCTTCTTCACGACTTGTTCGTCTTACGTTGCACACAATCAAGTTTAGGACTGGATAAAATTTTGATGGAAAAAGTATTTTGCTTTCTGGGACCGCAAGAGAACATTCAAAATTTTCTGCAAATAATAAAGTAAATCGACACTCGGACACTGTAACTCTGTGACACTAACAAGTTGTCAAACCGGATGTCATGGTATATTTTAACAAAAAATATATATCTCAGTGCACTGAGATTTTGAGAATCTTAATGACACTTTTAGGAATATAACATAAGAGTTTGATCCTAAGCCCTAATATAAGGTAAATACACATGCCAAAAGAGGGCCGTATAAGATAACTATCGGGGGGATTCATGCTCTCCCAGAAAATTTTGAAAATCGAGTGTACGTCTTTAGTGCAACTCGAATCGCTGTCGAAAAGAAATTTAATTTATAATGTTCTATATGTGGTCAAAACTTTATCCAGTCCTATACTCTATAGAACTTGTTCAAAACTTTATCCAATCCTATATAGTACTCGGTAAAAACTTTGTCCAGTCCCAGAACTTGATCAATTATCAATCCTATAGTCACGTAGTTTCTTTATTAAAATTTAAGCATCTCAGAAACGAGTTCATTTTCTTGTTTGATGTATATTGGCGGCGGGAGGTTGATAGCCTAAGATAATCTAATTTAGTTAAAGGTACACAACATAATCAGAGATCATCAATTAATCATCGTAGACGTGGTTTCATGTTGTTTCCGTATATTTAACCGACTCTTTGCGCGCAGTTGATGCTGTGAAATTAATAGTTAAAATCCCTGAGATTTTTTTACGAAGTTGTGCTGCTGAGTTCCCGCTGTGAGAAAAGCAGCTTTTGCTATTCATACGAGCATAGTGTTTGGACCAAATTAAGCAAACCGCCTGTGGAGTTGTGTGCTTCCTGCTTTTTTTACTATACTAGTTACTCCAGGAAGGATTATTGTATGTTTTGGTTTGTGAAAAACACTCGACGTATATTTATTTAATATTACAAAGCTTTCGATCTATAAGCCCAGATCATCATCAGTGCTAATAATACACGAATATCGAAAGTTTGCAACAATAAATATACCTATATGATGTTTTCCCCAAATCAAAACATATCGCCACGCAAACCTACAAAAGATTATTCTTGTTTTTACTCGTGGAGTTTTGGCAGTACACAAGTCATTAGTCTGCATAGTTTGCTTTCATACCCTCTATGACTGAGGTTCAATTTCTGCATTATGCAAGATTCTGATTTATATCAATTATAATCTGCCTCAGTTGCATGCAAGAAGAGTATTTTCTCAGCCGTACTCCCATCCCGTTTCCTGATCGACAGGCGGCTTCCTCATCAATTGTATACTGGTTTACACTATCAAAGTTTCTGTGATCACAGTAGGAATTTCGCATGGACAAATCCTTCAAAACTTAGAATTTACCAATGCAAAATTCTCGAGCCTGTCAAAGTGAGTTCTTAAGTCATCCCAGCCTCGACCTCGTGCACTGAAGCGAAATTTCTTGTAAAAAAAAAGTGCGGAAATATTTGTCATTCTTCTGCACGGGACGTTCCTATAATCTCGTTCCTAAAATGGACATGAGATTACCAACTTAAATCTAGTTTTCCAATAACAGTGACCTATATATAACCTCAGTATCTTCACGCAAAATCTCCTTTGAACAAAGAAAATCACAACACGCACGAAAACTCGTAAGCGATTATTTTAATCTGTCATGTATTAAAATATTCATGGGCGATCGGTTTACTTAACTGACACTACAGTAAATGATATTTGTAATAAATCTCATTTCGCTGTTTACATAAGATGTAAAAGCCTTATTTATACATGCATTTGTATATAGACCTTCTATAGCCTTGAAAAAAACTCCGGGAAATGTGCTTGGCGAAAACATTCAACGGTCATTCTAGGTTTCTCCATCTGTTTTGTGGGCTGAGTAGCTTAGCGGGGTGGGGAAGGCTTAGGGTTATGGGTTAAATGCGTGCTGTGATTTGTGTCAACTTGAGATTGAAGCTTTTCTATCTGACCTATCTTTACTTAGAGAGATGTCCATCATATTGACCGCAGAATAAAGCACTCGATCTCGAGAGATCGATGACAGATGTATATTGCGTTGTCGAGGAGAGAGAGAGGAGAGAGTTGGAATCGATGATTAAGAGATTTTGGATAGGATACGAATTTTGCTTCCAAAGGTAGGAAAATGTTTTTATTGTTACCATAGATATACTTTTTTATAGGTAATATAGAATTATGAAAATTTGACAACTAAACTAAATTAACTCAATACTGGAGGAGGAAAGCTGAACCTTTCTTGATCCAGTGTACTACAGGTGGAAACCTAAACTAATTTATTTTTGCTGGATTGCTCTATCCTTTCAGAGCTAGTGTCCCTAGAAATAAATTTTAAACTGTCCTCCGTAGAGGTCCACAAAGACTCATTCTCTGTATTCGTCCAGTGGCAGTGTTCCAAAATGTTCCAAAGACTAGTCCAATGCTAAACTAGTGTAATGTTTTCATCCACAATCGTTGGGATTCGATTCCTGCAAGACACACTTTTCTGAGAGAAAGGGAGGATTATTGAGTGAACTTTGGATCCATAAGAAATGCCCTTTACTAGACATCCAGGGAGAACAATTTCGAAATGATAGAGCTATCTACTCATGCAGTATGAATAAAGTTAGTTCTGTTTAGCTTTTATTCAAATGTCTAAATTTGAGTTGAAAGATAACAATCTGTTATATTAAGAATACTTTATTTTTCACTCTTGAATATATGCAAATGAACAGTGTCAGTGTTTTTGTATTTTCAGTATCAGTTTCACATTCATGACATTTTTATCTCAGATTTGTTACGTACATGCACTATGTACGCTCGCACATTTTTTTTCCAAAACATTCTTCCCATATCTTATCTGTGACTAAAACTTAAATATTTGACGTCAAAAATGATCCCTTATAAATCTCCTATAAATGTGTTTTCTTTGTTAGCTCTCGATAAAACAGTTTTATCAGTTTTTTGCTGACGTAAAGGATTATTGAAAATCGCATGTTTACTTAATGCAAAACTCTGTTTTCAATGAACGAACATGTTATTTGAGCACGAAAACGTTCGCTTTTGTGAAACGGTGAGTTTGGTTTATAGTTTCAATATTGTTTGGCGCTGTGTGAAAAAGTCATTCAAAGTCCATATGTATTGGTTAATTAGGTCGTTAACTAAGTATTATTAAATGTTATTGTGTGTTATTATTAGTCATGATATTATACTACATGCGTGCAATATCGTATAGGGAGATATTTAAATTGAAATCTAGGGGGAACCTAGGGGAAAATTGTGGCTCGGAAATGCCATTTCTTGCACTTTCTGCAGCCGAATTGAAGAGCCTTGACAAACATACTGCAAACATTGCTTTTAATGAATTGGCGGAGGGCTGGAAGCTGTAATCAAAACAATCTGCAGGTAGAAAAAGAACTCACGATTTTTGAACAAGATATTTCAAATAATTTAGGCATCTTTTCTATAATATCTACATCCATATAATTATAGTGAGGTCTTGCATTCATGCAGGAATATTACGTCACGTTAAGAATTTTTGTGTTGTGACGTCACTCGTAAGGGTAGAATAGGAAGTATATATACTACTAATCTATTTTTAGAGAGGTTTAAGGTTATTAAAGGTTACATTTATTTATCCAGATTAGCCCAGACAGCTTCATGGGTAGTATCCAATGATCTCATGAAATGCAGTGGTGCTATATCCAACTTGTTATCGTCCTGCAATTCAACAATTTGTCAACAAGTTGCGAGTGACAACCTTGTAGCAACTTGATAGAATAACAGGATTGTTACAACTTGTTGACAAGCTTGTTGCAAGCCTGTTGCGAACACATCTTGTTGACAAGTTGTAAGATTTTTACCTGTGTAGTGTCAACTAATGCCCTGGGCAAACATTGTTGTGGAAACATTTGCGATTCTCGATGTTTCCTCAAATGTTTCCCTGTTTGCCCACCCGTGGAAACATTGTTGCGGAAACAAAATTTGCTTCCCGAGAAGCAAAAATGTTTCCTAGCAAATTCAGAAACATTTGATGTTTCCCTATGTTTCTCACTAATGTTTCTTACGCCCGTATTCTAAAAGCTCACTCACACTCAATGAGTGGAGGTTCAATCTGAGCTTCTCTTAGGTGCGGCAAAAATGTTTCC